AATGAATTATTTGCTCTCTCAAATATAAACATCACTTTGGTTACTGGCGACATGCAAATAAATGTTGAAATAAAATCTGGACACTGTTCGAGCGATGTTTTCTACTGTCGTTCTGATCAATAATTCATAAATTGTTGTTTTAATTGATCGTACAGATAGTTGTGTCACTAGAGCAGTTAAAATTCTCCCTTAATATTTCCTAGACAGAAATATTTCGGGTTTAGAATTAGTAAATGATTCATTTATGTTTGTCTGTTTTTCTGAAGCACGGTTTTTAATCAGCGTCTGTCTCGCATTACGGTGTTTTTCTTTTTCATTTTAATTGATTTTGAACTTTCTAATCATTTTGGGTCTGAGTAGATGTGAGTGGGCGCTTTTCATTTTGTCCATACTCACATTAATACAGAGTGTTTCATAAGTTTTGAGGCGCGCAAAGCCAGTTTATTTGCAGGTAGAGAATAACTTCTAACCGAATACATTTTATATGAGATTTCAGTACTCGTGACGGCCTTTCATATGACATAAAATTCAATGTTCAATGATATTCTCTCTTGTGATCATAAGAATATAACGATAAATTTTTCGAAATCGATCAACAGTACGGGTCTCCTATAATAAGTGATGATAAATAGTTAATCATATTTTTCATACTCTTTCTTGATGTAGAGAGCTAAAATTTCCATAAATAAAACATACTTGATTAAATATATATGTGATAAAAATTTTAGCTCTATATGTCAAGAAAAAGTATGAAAAATCTCATTAACTATTTATCACCACTTATTACAGGAGACCCGTATTGTTGGTCGATTTCGAAAAATTTATCATTATACTCTTATGGTTATATTTTTATTATTACAAGAGAAGATGTCGTTGAATTTCATGTCATTTGAAAGACTGTCACGAGCACTGAAATCTCATATATAATACATTCGATTGGGAGTTATTCTCTTGCCTGCCGATAAACTAATTTTGTTACGCCTCAAAACTTATGAAACACCCTGTATCTTCAATGCAATCCATGTACCAGTCAGAAACAGCAACTGCTGATGCAAGACCAAAAAGAAAGAGTATATAACAAAGAAAGAAAAACGAAGAAGTTTCTGCCATAATTGCTTACCCGCAGAAGAAACGACGAAACTGTAATGAAAGTTGTTTTGCGCTCCTGTTTCCTCTTTATATGGTTTATTTCTACTTCTTCAAAAGAACACTTATTTCAGCCATAGGAGGCGATGATGGCGGCAACATATAAAAAAAGAGAAAATGTAACAACGAAAGAAAGACAAATTTTTCTACCACCAATGTCTACTGGCAGATGAAAAAAAAAAGAAATTGGAAGCGAAGGTTGTTTTTCTGTCCTTGCTCTCACTTTGTTATTTTTAACCATTCTACGCATTTTTTTACTTGCCAGAGTGCGCAGATATTGTGACAAACATCAGAAAACGAGATAATGTAATAATGAGAGATGAACAGAATTGCATATTAACTATGCCTAGTTTTAGTAGGAATACGACAGTGAAAATCAAGATTCTTTACTGTGTGTCTTCCTGTTTATGGAATTCACACATTTGATCAACAGAATCATTTTACTCGTGAGAGAGTGCAGCTACTCGAGTAAGAAGCAGAAAGGAAAGGCATGTAATTACAAAAGACAAACAAAGAACTCTGTCAAAGATACCTGTGTGCAGCAGAAACAACAATATTGTAAATGGAGATTTTTTGCATCAAGACCTACCTTTTTCATTATTTCTTTTCACTCCTTCAATGATCATCTTGTAACTATGAATGAACGCAACTGAATTGGGGAACAGGCCATTTTTATCACCCGAAAACCAGTATGAATGAGTCATAATCACTGCTAAAGCCATGAACAGATTAGAAGACCCCCTTACAAGTAACTGATTTTTTGAGAACTTTTTTGATTCTTTTTGCTTTTCACATATGCACATGTACCCCTGCAGATAGTTTTACTAGCAACTCAATTGATGATTTGAAGCAAGGAATATGACACGAAGGAGTGTCTCTCGCGATCATTCCTCAAGTCTGTACTCAGTGCATTCAATTAACCCGTTCGAAACTCAAATTATCTCCTTCTAAGAAAAGTATTTTCTGTACAAGACTCATAGCTTCGGCTTGGGTTCGAATCTTGAAATCTGTGAATCATTACGATGCTTTTCATGCTCTAGGTTATATCTGAGTTGATAATTCTTCCATTCACCCCAATCATATATCTTGGTATAAATTCCATTTGAGATGCTTCGAATTAGATCAACTGGATGTATATGACGAAAAGCATGATTCAGATTCGTTTGAGCATGCTGAAACTATTGTGATTAAGTCTCAAGCTAAACAGCTGCCTTTAAAAGACATGCAGAAAAAAAAGTGAGTGCATTATTTTTTTCTTCTTGTCTAGCAAAATGAAAGTGAAAGCATTTTATTTTATATTGGAATATGTGCTTTGTTGTATTAGCTAAAAATCAACAATGTTAAGCTTTCCAAAAAGACGAAATTTCAAAAATTTCAAACGTTTGTTCTTCAAAATTTCTGTTACATCAGCGCTTACTATGATTACCGCCATAATTACCAAATTTTCGTAATTTCTGAAATTTCCAAACTTACTCAAATTGCTGTTTTGTATTTCTGTGCGGTTTTCGAAGTGTCGAACATTTCGGTGATTTCGATAATTTCTTTTTCCGGAAACCTGAACATACTTCCTAATATATCCATAGTTTTACTTGCTGAAAATGATTTTAAAAGCGTCGAAAAATCATTAAGGACCGTTTAAAATCATAAAAAAATCCACGAAACTCCTAGATAGTGCATCACAACCCACTGAAAATAATTTCTTCACAACCAAGATTTGTATTGATTACATGTCAAAAAATCGGATTTTTTCAAAAATAATCCTTCTCTTTTCAAATAATCGGATTAAAATCGATTAGATTTTCGATTAAAAAATCTGTTTAAATCCACAAAGGATGCGGTGGGTGTGGGTGAAGAGACGATCCACACCCACACTCATACCCATACCCACATCCATACATTTATAACGAGATGTTATATCAATAACATCTCGTTATAAATATATGAACATCTTTATTATTGCATTTCTCAAGAATTAAAAAAAAGGATGCTAAAGAAATGTGTTCTAGAATAGATAGAATAAAACAATCTCCTTGTGATTAGCAACAACAGCTATGCCGTATTTCACATTTTAATTTTGCACGCGTTGCACTAACAGTTTTTCTTTAGAAAAGTCGATAAAAATGCGACAGTCGCTCATTTTCGTCGGAATTTCGCACTCTTTAATATGATATTTATAAATAAATAATTTCTATAAAACCTTTGAGATGTTAAAAGCTATCACTTTCCGTTTTCAGAAACCATTCACTTGTATTCCATCTTGATAGACCACTCAAATCACGATGTGACTTTGAACTAAACACGTGACATTGTCGACAAAAATCAAACATATTGTGCAGTTATAATCGAGTTCAGTACACTGTAAAAAAAAAGACGTAGAATATTAAACTTTTGCCCTTCCTGCCACTTTTCATAATCCGTTTAACGATTTTACGTCGACTGGTTTATTATTATAGGTTTTCAGAAAAAGCGTTTATGATGTATATGTATAAGAAGACTATAGACGAATAATTTTTCTTCGAATATTCATTTGAAAAAACAATTTTTCTTATATCTCATACGAATCTTTATTATTTAATCGTGTCACTCCAACTGAAGAAGATAACCTTTTTTTTTGTTCTAGTTATTTTGTTAATAGGAAATATCTACATGATTCTTAGGATTTTTTATCTCAATAGTCTTGTTTTTGAATAGTTCACATGTTACTTTCAATATTAAACATGTAATCGTAACTTTATGAGAAAGTATTTGCAGACAGTACTAGCATGAGCGTTCTTGGAAAACTGACAGATATTTGACTTTTTAAGAAACATATATATACCGCGAGTACCGAAATTATTCGAAGCGGTTTATTTTTCACTTTTTTCTGCTTCCATCAGCATTAGCAAGGATCCAGATAGTGATTCGAATGAAGAAAATAGTTTCGAACAAAAATATAAGGAAATAAAAATTATTATAAGGTTTCCAAAAATAGAAACTCTAGCAAACCAAAAATCCTAATTTCTCATCATCTAGAACGCTAGAGTAAATAATTATCTACAATTCGGAGACATTTCATTTTCTAGATAATTATTTACTTTATTGCTCTACGAAGTCTAAATAAAACTCGATTTTCTCGTTCTAGATGCTGAAAAAGAAGTCTTTTGGTTTTCTGAAGTTCTTATCTTTGAGAATCGTTCTTGTTGGAAACTATTCAAGTTACTATTTGAATTCTTTATGCAAGCTACGAATACTGAAAAAATTTGAGATTGAATTCATATGATCAATTATGGAGTCACTGTATACTCTAATCAAAAAAAAAAATTTGGGAGTTTTCCAAAGTCGAAAAAATTTGATTTCACAGGTCTCTAGAATCAAGCCATCAAACATATTAACAATTTTCTACTCTTCAATGTTGGTTGACGTATTTTCAATCAGCTCATAAAATTAACAATATTCCAAAATATTCAGATCAAATTTTCGTATATTCAACAAAAAAAATCAGGTTGATATCATTGTAGCTTTTATATCTTTGATATATTTTCATTAATAAAGTACATATAATATTTTTCAATTGCCTAGAAATTAAACTTCATCTCAGTTTTTGATTCAATTCTAACAACATAAAATTCTATGTTAAAATCTATACATTTAACTTTTTTAGAGTTTCGATTCTATTTAAATAACTCTTATTATAAAAACATCATGTGATTTTATTTTAAAAACAAAAATCATACGACAATTCAAAAATCTAGGTCTATAGTTGAATAAATATATAATCAACAATAAAAAAAAACCACAATTGCATATAGTCTCAAAAAACAAAAAAAGTCCATTCAAAACGACAGTTTTTATTTCACAATATTCATAAGAATTAATTATTCCAAATGGAAATGAAAAGTTGTTTGTTCATGATATTCTTTATCAGGACGAAGAATAATACTTGGAAATGAAGGCTGAAAATAAACATAAAATATGATATCGATTTATTTTTATTGAAAATTATATTTACTTGATTATTAACACTACCACTATAATTTTGAGTTTCTAAACATAATCCGTCGTGTTTATTATATGTTGCTCCATTACGTCCTTTACCACCATCAAGAAAATTTCCTGTGTAAAGGTGAAGACATTTTTGAGTTGATTCAATAGTTATTGCTCGACCACTTTGTTCATGAAGAAGTCTAACGATGAATAAATACGAAAAAAAAAAAAGTTTCTTTATATTAAATTTATAAAACTGACTTGCCAAATGGACGTTTTCCATCACCATCAACAATCAACGTTATATCATAACCGTCAAATGATTCATTAATACGATCACCAATACGAGTCAAGGTTCTGAAATCATATGGAGTATTTTCTACTGATGCTATTTCTCCTAAATAAAAAGTAAAATTAATCAGAAAAATTATTAATAATACAACAAAAACAAAAAATAAATTACCTGTAGGGATAAGTTCTTTATCTAATGGAATGAAATTTTTAGCGGGTACCATTAGTTGATGATCAAGTATTGATCCACTTGCCTAAAAAAAATCGAAATTCTACAATATATTGAACATATAATGATTATTAATATTTACATCTCCGGCAAAATTAAAATAAACATGATTTGTCATGTTTATTGGTGTTGGTTTTGTTGTTGTTGCATGAAAATCAAGTGTTAATCGATGATCACTTGTCAATATATATTTGACAGTCACATTAACTCGACCAGGAAATCCACTTTCACCTATTTTGTTTTTCGAAAAAAGAAAAAAAGAAAAATCCTTTTTTTCACATTGAAATTTCAAAAAAAAAGAAAGAGAGCTACCATCTGGACTTTGATATTTAAAAACAACAGTATCACCATTTTCTGTTGAACTATCCCATACACTTTTATTAAAAACACCATGTAAATAATGTCTTGTTGTAGCATCAGTCTTTGGTAAGTCATAAACAATTCCATCTAATTCAAAACGACCATTTTTTATACGACCTGTTACTCGACCAACTGTACAACCAAAAAAACATTTATCATCAATATAACCTAATTAATAAAAAAAAATAATTAAATTATAGAAATGGTTCTGTTTTTTTTTGTCTGATTAAGTTTACCTTGAAGATTATCATAACCAAGTGTAATTTCAGTAATTTGATTATATTTATCTGGTTGTCGAATGGATTGAATTGTTGCACCATAATTAATTAAAGCAACTTCAAAACCATCTGATGTTGAAAGTGTATATCTAAATATAAATATTATCAATAGGAAAAAAAACAATCATTGAATTACTTTTTTATTTCATTTTGATTTTTTGTTGTACCAAATAAACTCTCAGTTATTTTCACTGTAGCCATTCTTTTAAAATCTCGTTTCAAATATAAAAAGAATATGTTTATCTGTATATAACTTTATCAAATGAAAGACTACTAACGTTCTCTGGCGTATTATTCTATTTAACCAATCGAATAATTGAAAAAAAGATAATACTTTTCGATTGCATTTCATTTTGTTTATTAATATTCTTTTTATTTTCATGCTGAGAAAAATATTTTTACTAATTGATAAATCGATTGTTTGATGTTCGGTTTCAAATCACTCTATGATTTGCTGTACTTCGAATTACACACATGTTTTTACGCAATATTACATGAGAATAACTGCGGCAAGGAATTCGATGTAATCTAAACAAGTCGTCAACATTACTTATAAAATTAAAAGTAGTTGCAAAGCTATTTCGAGCAACAACAAAGTAGTTGTCTTTCGTTGTTAATCTGAAAATAAATCGGTAATAAAAATGAAAAAGTTTTAAACATTTTCAAAAGCGTTTGGTTTGTGGCAGCATTTAATTATAAAGATATTTCTTTGGTAAAATCCATTTTAGTAGAATGTATTGATTTCATTACATGATATCCAATACATTCACATTCAATCGAGTTGATTAGTATAAAAGTATTATGATAGTATGAAGAAGAAAACAGTAAGCTTCAAAATTTCACAGAACGTTTAAAGATTTCCAAAAGATTTTATGAGACTTCACGAAAGTTCATGGAACTTCAATCGTGGTTTTATGATCGACTATTATCTTTCGTTATCGTAATAGCAGAAATAATCTTGTGGATAAATTTGAAGTCGAGGTTTTGCAACTCACCCCTATTCACATTCAACACCGCTGACAATTATAGATGTGATGCATATGCATGATTCAAGTTAATTCATTCATTAAGATTCTTCTCGATTAATATGAATTCTTTGTAATAAATACTTCGAATTTGGATAGAAAACACTTTCTGCAATCGCTTATAACTGGAGAGTGTGTGGATATGGGTGTGGAGTGTGGTGGGTGTGGGTGTCGATAATCTCTTCAAACACCCACACCCGTCAACGGCGCGGCTTACACGTCTAGTTGTACATATTCAATACTTTATCATTGTATGTTACAGATTTTTATTAAGTGTTTAATAAGATATTACTAAATGTGATCCAAATGCATTAACATTTGTCGATAATTATCTTAATGAAATTGAATATCTACATTCATTCAATCGTTATAAAAGAGATCTAGCTCAATATGGAAGATGGAAGGCTTCACAATTACGAACATTTATAGTATATGTTGCGATGCCAGTTCTGGTACGATTACGTCTTGCCATGCCTCATACATTTTCAGAGGTTTATATATCACACTTTCCTTTAATATTTATTTATATTCGTGTATTACGGCACTTTGATGACCGTGATGAAATTTTACAAGTGCCTGTATTTATACATGTATATCTACGTTTATTTTCTTGTCTGTATGATAAATGTAAAGAATTATATTCAGTTCATGCATTATGCAATCTACGGCAGCATGTATTGGATCATGGTGGATTGGCCTATCACAGGTAAATGTCTGAAATTTCCAGGGGATATTTTTTCATAATATAGTTTTATATCTTTCTTTTTTAGTTTATTCCCTTCGGAAAGTTGCTTACAGCATTTTGTAAAACTGGCTCATGGTTCTATTACTCTCGGCGAACAAATATCGTTTTGGTGGTCTGTATTTAGTCAAATTCAATCAAAATAAGTGCAATATTATCCAACATTATTTACTAATGAACATCTTATTGATGATATATTTTTCGATTCCACCATGATGCAAAATTATCAACAAGAGTTCGATTTGGTTTACAATCAAATGTTTGGCATATTTCCTGATGTATCATTGAAATATTATTGTAGATATCGACGTGAATTATCCTTTTATCATTCATTGATGTACAATCGGCGTAAAAATCGTAACAGTTACAATGTCCATGTGAGCATTGACACTGACAATACAAATTCAGGTTTATATTATGGTCAAATATTATTTTTCTTTTATGTAAAAAAGGAACCATTTTTTTTTCTTCAAACGATTTCTTAATTCGAGAAACAAGTTTTCTTCCCTTGCGGAATCGATGGAAAAGATTACAAATTGGTCAATGTACATTGATAAGTACTATTCAATTGTACGCGATTCTACATCTCATCTTCCCATTCTTCCATGTTCATACATTATATCAAAATGTCTTTTTTTTTCACTTAATAATGAATTTCTTGTATGTACACCAATTGAACTTGAAATAGAACATGATTGAAAAAAAACGAACGATTGTAAGGGTTCTATTAAAAGTACTTTTTATTTTTTAGATTAATTTTTATATTCAAAAATTGTTCATTTCTTATTAAGTAAGTGTATTCATTCTTTTTTCTCATTTTGCTATCTTACTTAAATATTATATGTTTTATATTAAAAGGATGGCACGTTACACTACTTCTATCACACCTGGACGAACTCGAAAATTACCAGTTGGTGCTTTAAATATTCAAACACCGTTTATCGATGATATGGATGAGTTTTCAGCTGATGAAAATGAAATTGATGACAGTAAACTTGTTTTTTTAATATTACGCATCCATAAGTTCAATATAATTCGTTGTCAGATTATCCAATTATTCGAAATATACCATTTCATAGTCAACAACAATGTGAATCTTCTGTTCAACGTTCATATCATAATAAGAATACTAGTAAACAAATATTCATATACCACTAAACTTGTTTGTTTTGTTTAGATGCTTATTATACATCTCAAGTCAAACGAAAACGTTTACAAGTACAAGTTGATGATGAACTACAAGGTTCATTAATGGAAAATTTCAAAATCATTCAAAATATGTTCAAAGACCTTAGCCAAAAAGTTGATATATTAACAGAACGAGGAAGTACATTTGAAAAAAAAATTGGACAATGTTGATAAACAATTTCAAACTTGTTCTCGACGTCTTCATAAGGTAATAACGCTTTCTTTTATTAAGATTACTGATCAAAAATTTAATTGCGACAACGAATGATAAGATAGAATTTTTGATCAAGTTTAAAACTTGCATTATACAATTAAGAATTAATGAAGTTATACTTAATTAGTTATATTAACGGTCTGTTGAAAAAATCTAAGATTTGGAAGATAGTAAGAATTCGAGTAAAACGGAAAATATCGGATGTTTTCAACTTTTTTTTATGATACTTCGTCCGAGCTAAATATGGTATATGAAATATATAACAGGTATTACCTACGGCATTAGTTTTAAATAGTAGAGTCACACTTAATTGATAATATACGTCTTGTTATTTTAGAATCCAACGACAAGTGAACCACCTGCTAATCTTCCAGTCGTCGTAAGTTTTACTGTTTTTCTCTTTTTCTTACTTCTTTTTTTAGAATTACAATGGACGAAATCTATTATCTGGTATTATAATTGGAACTCCTGTTGGTCTTATGAAAACGTTAATTAATCAACTATTCATCAACGAAGAAATAATTAACTGACAATATGAACAAATCAATGAACGAACAATGAAAATAAAAGGTAACCAGCCTGTATCATGGCATCATTACTATAGTATTTCGATATCTGTTTCAGAAACCATCAAAGCTTATTTTTTTAACAACGACAACGACAAAATAGAAGGTTTTTAGCATAATCAAGGAAAAGTTGTTCGTGATAATCAAAGACGAGGACGTTCACTTAGAGAGAATAAATCATCGTAAGTTCTGGCTGAAGTGGCGTTTAAAGAAATGGATTTTAATTTTTTAAGATCAACTTCTACAAAAACAAGTCCAACTACAAATAACGAAAATGAAGAACCAGCAAACATAATCAACAGTGAACAATAAATGAAACATAATATTGATATTCAAAGAAGTAATTTTTCTCTTATTTCCAGAATTTTTTCTTGATCTTTTTATTTTTTGATTCACTATTCGAAATGTATCTTTATGAGATAGATTTTTGTTTGCGAAATTTTACGTTTTATTATCTCTATCTTCTTTATTTAACTTTTTTCTTATTTTTCGTGTGAATGTGTACTTCAGAAATTGTAAAAAAATCTTTTTAAATACAAAAATAAATGTGCTCTTTGTGAGAGCAACTGGAGTGTCAGTATCTAGGTCATCGAATTCAGCGTTTGCGATTACATCGAACGTCAGGAAGAACCTAGATGAAACGATATAAACAATGGGTTTGGAACACGAAAAACCGTATTTCGAACGATACTGCAAACGCATTCTTTAACTGTTCGCCTTGACCTGGGAATACTACAAAATGAGCATTCTACTAACAACCATCGATCAGAGGCTAAATTCTAAAAAACTGTCTGTTCGAAAAACATCACAACACTAGCATAGAAATTGTTCACATCATCGAAAATCAACACGAATCCACGCGAAGAAGAAATTATGACCAACAACGAAAATATCTGGTATGCGTGATAGCTTCACACATTCACACCCTCATCTTTTATATTTGCTCTAAATAAGCAAACGCATTGGACTCTCCACATACAATCTTCAATAGCGACGGACAGTTATTTTCTCGATCTCCCAAACGGAAACGGACAAAAAAAGAAGCACCAAAACAAATTTATCATAACAATTTTCAAGTTCATCAGTTCTATTCTAATCGCAGTACATCTCAACTATTTCAAAAATGATATTCAAACTGTCTCACTGGCCTCCTTCAATATATCAAACACAAAAATCATACCAAAATTTTGGAAAAAATCGAAATATCATTTATCTTTGTTACTAAACATATTCACATCCAAAAATAAGGTTACAAAAAATATGAGTAGCACCAAGTCGAAGTTAGAAATAGTGAATCAATGAAAACAAAAATCAAGCCAGTAGTTGCAATATTAACAAGTTTGTAGAAGAATTTTTAAATTGTCAGCACCTTCGTTGGCGACGGAAAAATCCAGCTTTCCATCATTGTTCAAATCACCAACAGAAATCGAGAACGGCAGAGATCCATAGCCAACCGAAAAAAACTTTACATCTGTAAATGAGCCATTACCATATCCCAGCAACACACCGACATTGTTTGTGCCATAATTGATGACAATAATGTCTAGCAAGGTATCGTTGTTGAAATCAGCAACGGCAACCACGTTCGGTTGAGAGTTAACACCGGTCGTAAACGTTTTTTGACTTGAAAAAGAACCATTACCCTGTCCGAGAAATACACTAACAGTGTCATTGCCACGATTCGCGACCACAATATCAAGTATGGTATCATTGTTGAAATCACCAACAGCTACCGAGCATGGAGAAGAATCAGTTGGATATGCAATTTGATTTGCGAAAGAACCATTGTCATATCTTAGAAAAATACCGACATTGTTAGTGCCTGAATTCGCAACTACAATATCTGTTTGACCATCATTGTTAAAATCACCCATGGCAAATGACTTAGGCCGAGATCCATTCCCAGTTATAAGCTTCATTTGATTTAGAAAACCTTCCTTGGGATATCCGAGATATACACTAATATTCCTTCCATTAGTGTTAGCGACGACGATATCCAGTCGGGTGTCATTATTAAAATCACCAATTGCTACAGATTGAGGACTACTGCCAGTTGGATATGCCATTTGATTTGCAAATAAACCATTGCCATATCCGAGAAGGACACTCATAGTGTTGTTATTCCAATTAGTGACGACGAGATCCAGATAGGCGTCGTTGTTCAAATCACCAATTGCTATAGACCTTGGGGCAGGGCCAGTTGGATATTTCGTTTGATTCGCAAAAGAGCCATTACCATAACCGAGAAGGACACTTACAGTGTTGTCGTACTGATTAGCAACGACGATATCCAATAGGGTGTCGTTGTTTAAATCACCAACAGCTACAGAGTATGGTACAGAGCCAGTTCGATATGCCGTTTGATTTGCAAAAGAGCCATTACCATATCCAAGAAGGACACTTACAGTGTTGTTACCATAATTAGCGACGACGACATCCAATCGGGTGTCGTTATTAAAATCACCAATTGCTACTGAGATTGGTGAAGAGCCAGTAGAATATTTTTTTTGATTTACAAAAGAGCCATTACCATATCCGAGAAATACACTTATCGTGTTGTCAACATAATTAGCAACGACGATATCCAGTCGAGTATCGTTGTTAAAATTACCAACTGCTACAGACCATGGTGTAGAGTCAGTTGGGTATGTCTTTTGATTTGCAAAGGAGCCATTTCCACATCCAAGAAGCACACTAATAGTGTTATCCTCCGAATTGGTGACAACGATATCCAGATGGATGTCATTATTAAAATCACCAACAGCTACAAACCGGGGGGAAGATCCAGTTGAATATGGCTTTTGATTTGCAAATGAGCCATTGCCATAACCGAGAAGGATGCTTACAGTGTTGTCACCCTGATTAGCGACGACGATATCCAGATGCGTGTCATTATTAAAATCGCCAATAGCTACAGACTTTGGCCAATTGTCAGTTGAATATGTCATTTGAGGATCGAAAGACCCAAGATTATATGTGACAAGCACATCTATATGATCGATGTCATCATATGCGACAAAAATTTCTGAACGTCCATCTTTGTTGAAACTACCAGCACTAATCATCAATGGATGGGAATCGAAATTTACACTGTAACTTGCTTGATTTTCGAATGTTCCATTTCCACTTCCCAGAAACGTAACAAGATTTTTAGTACCATAATTGGCCACAGCTATATCTACTTGGCCGTCTCTATTGAAATCCTGGATAGCGATTGAGTAAGGATGAGCATTGAAGCCTGCTGAGAGTACTATTTGATTTCCAAAAGCACCATTTCCGTCTCCAAGAAGGATACCTATGTTATTAGTACCATAATTGACAACGGCGATATCCAATAGGTTATCGTTATTGAAATCAAAGACGGCGAAGTTTCGCAAACGAGAACCATTGGCAGATGCAAATGCGATTTTGTCTTCCAGAGCTCCTGTGTCATACCGAAGTAGTACACTTATATTAGCGTCATTAAAACTAGCAACGACGATATCCGATCTGATGTCATTGTTAAAGTCACCAATAGCTACAGATTGCGGGCCAGAGCCAGTTGAATATATCATTTGATTTGCAAAAGAGCCATTTCCATATCCCAGAAATACACCTACATTGTTGCCACCAAAATTAGCAACGACAATATCTAGTCGGGTGTCGTTGTTAAAGTCACCAACAGCTACAGAGCTTGGAGCAGAACCAGTTAAATATATTGTTTGATCTGCAAAAGAACCATCACCATATCCGAGAAGTACACTTACAGTGTTGTCATCCTCGTTAGTGACGACGATATCGAGTCGGGTGTCGCTGTTAAAATCACCAACAGCTACATAGATTGGTACAGAGCCCGTTGAATATGTCTTTTGATTTGCAAAAGAGCCATCGCCATATCCGAGAAGGATGCTTACAGTGTTGTCACCAAAATTAGATACGACGATATCCAGATGAGTGTCCTTATTAAAATCACCAACTGCTACAGAATTTGGTCCAGAGCCAGTTGAATATGTCGTTTGATTTGCAAACGAGCCATTGCCATTTCCGAGAAGTAAACTTACAGTGTGGCTTCCATTATTAGCAACGACGATATCCAATAGGGTGTCGTTGTTGAAATCACCAACTGCAACAGAGCATGGTGTAGAGCCAGTTGGATATATCTTTTGATTTGCGAAGGAGCCATTGCCATATCCGAGAAGTACTCTTATAGTGTTGTCTCTATAACTAGCGATGACGATATCCAGGTAGGTGTCGTTATTAAAATCACCAACAGCTACAGAGCATGGCCAAAAGTCAGTTGAATATGTCCTTTGATTTGCAAAGGAGCCATTGCCATATCCAAGAAATACACTTATATTGTTGGCATATATATTAGCGACGACGATATCCAGATGAATATCGTTATTAAAATCAACAACGGCTACAGAGTATGGATAAATGCCAGTTGAATATGTCGTTTGAATGGGAAAAAATTCGTCATAAGCAAGCATGATACCTATGGTGCTCGTATCATTGTTGATAAAGGCAATGTCTGAACGATTATCTCTGTTTAAATCACCTATGGCAATGGAGATTGATGACGAAGATCCAGTGGAATACATTTTTGAGATTGCAAAGGTGCCGTTGCCATATCCGACAAGTAGAGCTATATTATCGGTACCGTTATTGGCCACGACTAAATCCATTCGATTGTCGTTGTTGAAGTCACCAATGCCAATAGAATATGGAGAAGCAGCACTGAGGGAATATATTATTTGACTCATAAAAGTTCCGTTGTCGTGACCCAGAAACACACCTACATTATTATTTCCATAGTTCGCGACGGCAATATCTAGCATGGTGTCTTCGTTTAAATAACCAACAACAAGCGAGTATGGATGAGAATTCGGGCCAGTTGAGAACGTGATTTGATTCGCGAAAGTGCTGTTACCAGTTCCAAACATTATACCGACGTTGCTGGTGCCATAATTGGCGATAGCAAGATCCATCTGTTTGTCGTTGTTGAAATCGCCACTGACAACGGCAAATGGAAAAGAGTCATAGCCCGTAGAGTACGTGCTTGGGTTTGAAAAGCTTCCATTTTCATATCCGAAAAATATGCTTACACTGTGTGTGCCGTAGTTAGCAGTCACAATATCTAGTGCTGCATCATTGTTAAGATCTCTTACATGGATCCAAACGGGGCGAGATGATGCAACTGAAAGCATTGTTTGACTTGCAAAAGACCCATTTTGGAATTTAAGAAGTACACCAACGCTGTTTGTACCGAAATTTGCGATGACAACATCAAGTCGACTATCATTGTCAAAATCACCAACAGCGACCATGCGCGGAGCAGAGCCAGAGCCGGTGGAATATTGGACTGGGCTTGCTACAGTGCCATTGCCATGTCCGAAATATATAGCTATATTGTCAGCAGCATAATTAGTAACGACAATATCTAGCCAAGTGTCGTTGTTAAAGTCGCCCATGGCGACAGATCGTGGATCATACTTATAATCAATTGGATTTCGGGTCGTTGCTTTAAAATTAAGTTCACATTTTGGAACTAAGTAACACAAGAATAAAGAAGTAGAGACTTATCAGCTATTATGGTTGAACTATCCCTAGTAGATTATATCAAATTCACATAATTCCGATGATATTCTATTAAAATTTGTCGGATGATAGCAATCAGATCGAGATGGAAACAGTACTTTTCAACAGAACCTCGTTGAATTCTACGAAACTCATCATTCAGATTAATCATTGTACGCTCTTTTTCATATCCTTGATAATTCGTTCACGAAGCGTATAGTGACTTTTAAATAGCAGATATCACAACTAATATAATTTAAGTAATGATTATAGACTGATCTTAACTATATGACTAAAACCACTATCATCTCTATATTACAGGTTCTTCCATGACATGACATGCCATCGGGCACAAATATACCGTAATGGCAAAAATTCTGAAGTGTTTCGAAATTAAAAGAATACTAATGACATCGTGTTGCAACAATTCTCTAATTGCGTCATGAATGTTGTGCATCGATAATTAACAGTAACAGTCAGGATGGGGCAGGTTTTCCGCTGGTGGTATCTAGGAATATACAAAGGATAGTTAAACAGAGTTTTATTAATAGTATTTGCTTGACGAATTGAGCGATTATTCATTTTCGATATTGCCTATGTGGACCTGTGATTTCGTATTGTCTGATCGTACTGTATTGGTTATAATATGGCCTCTATAGCTATATGATGGTTTCTGTTTTTCTAAACGACGAGATCACTCCAACAGTCTCATTTGTTATCCGTAGATTCATTTATTGCTAGACCTAAATCATCACAGCTATGTAGTTTCCCGTATATTTTGAAAGTTTCAACGAAAAAGATATCCCTTCTTCAGGTGATCAAATTCGAAGGATTAACACTGGAACATTCATGATATTCTGATAATTATGGAAGATGTACGGAAGGAGTATATCAAGCCGAAATATCATCATTTAACTTTTTAGTACACGGTGGGCTACTAGGAAATATGAATATAACAGGTATAACTTACAAAAAAATATTAACGGAGAAAATTAATCAACTAATATCCTTGGAAGTGTCACGTTCATTATTACTTAGACTTCTACTTACCAAAGTAATAGTAAATGTTTTTATGATTGAAAAATCTCCTATACAGAAGTAATAAACACATAGCATAACCATAGGTTCTTCATTGTTGTATCATAATCTTTATCACTTATTACTGGTTAGGTAAGTATTTGGTGGTACCGATTATTATGTAACAGTAAGTGGTAAGTAATATTTGCCAGTAATTAACAAACCCTTTGCATTTAATCAGAGGACTAAGGAGACAAATTACCGCTACTGACAAGTTATCTTATTGAATAAAGGAAAATATTATGTCCGTTTAATTTTCCACTCCAAGAAAGCTTATTTTACGAAAACAACCATGTGTTTGAAGTTTGATCACATGATTTCGAGTGGCGAGGAGTTCATATCCATTCATGGTTGCTCAGAGTTACTAGTATCGTTATTTTCAAGAAACAATCTCTCTAGAATGCAAATCTTAAGGCTACACATTCCGAGAAGTTATCAATGAAGGAGGAGGATACATAAGAAGACAAATCGGCTCATCTCAGAATTTTCAAAACGAGTATATATTTCAATGCAGAATGAGACGACGAATCGTTTGATGCAACGTTCAAATTATTTAGGAAGCAATTCGATGGCTTCTGATGCAGATTACTATACCACATTTTTACTGCATTCAGATGGCCATATACTAACAATAAGTTTGCCAAAACATTTGTTCATCTGCCCATCAATAGTTTCATTTGAAAGAGTAGCAAATTTTGCACAAATTCTGATATGAGTCATCCAAAAATAGGGAACATAAGATGAATTTATAATGAACTAATAGTATTTCTCTTAAGAGTTTGATGCAGTTTTTGACAGACTACACATCGGCACAATTTTCTTGTGGATATCATAAATATACAGATGACAAAACTCCACTAATCATCATAGATCAATTGCAAAAAAAGAACTACATTAACGTGCAATCATTCAAAAACTGCATCACTCCATCGTAAAAGCCACTTCGAATGCAATTGAGACGCCTAAACCCTCATGACATACCTGAAATATCGATAGAAACACTATTAGCTCACCATAAATTAAGCTTATATTTACTGTTAGATGCTTTGACAAACTTATTGTTAGTATACAACCACCTGGATACAGTAAAAATATGGTAAAGCACTCTGCGTCAGATGCCATTGAATTATTTCTCAAATAGTTTGAATGTGGTATCAAATGATTTGTTGGCTTATTCTGCATTGAAATATGTACTTCTTTTGAGAGTTCCGAAGTCAACCGGTTTGTCTTCTTTATGCGCTTCTCCTTTAGATTCCTCAACTCTAAAGACGTGTGATCAAAGTTTATACAAAATTGTTGTTTTCATCAAACTGGCTTTCTTTGAGACAAAAATCAAACTGACCAATATTCTCTCACTCGAATATCATATTTCTAAATACCTTCTGTTTGATCTCATAATTTTCTCATTAGTAGAATTCACAGAGTAGAAAAGAACTTCAAAAAGATTCGTCCCATTGTCCATATCTCAATAAAGTAATCTTTTCACGAGCTAGTTTTTTATAAACTCATCTTACGTATCGTTTCTTGTCGTATAAAAATAGAAGAACTTTAGCTAACCTTTTTACTTAATAAGAAAATCAAAATGATAAAGGAAATGAGAACGAAATAGAAGATCAAGAAAATAATTAATCAATCTAATGATAATGATAGTTCAGAAAAATAAGTGAACCGCAGTTCTAGTTGTACCAAGATCAATGAATCATTAACCCATCAATACAACTTTTTTCATGTCATGCATTTGTTTAAAATGTGAAAAAAAAAGTCTTTAACATTCTGAAATAGATCCAAATCAACTTCCAAAAAAATTATTGAGCCATATCTATTTGGTCATAGGTCGAGAAGTTAGAAACAGGTGTGAGTGTGAGGTTAGATTAGAGAAATATTCATCCTCCGACATCTACACAATATCCACCAATATGGTGACATGTGAATACTAATTGTAATAGATCTTCTAACTTATGATCATCTAATTCGTCATCATGACTCAGTATCATTTCCATTTCAAATATATGAGACGTTCGTTTCAAAATATAATCCAAACATTTATAAAGATTAAATACAATTTATTCGTTGCTAGAACTGATTGAAGATAGTGAATTATAGGATAATTTGTCTGATGTCAGATTTTAGATAGTCGATTACTAGCTAGCTATTAGTCAGATAGAATTATTTGATGGCGCACATATAAAGCTTTATAGTTTTAAGGAACGTAATAAGAAAATGAGAACTCATTGGACAATACAAGAGAGAACATACATGAACCATACAGAAAGATCGAGAAAAGAAAACGAATGTATCGAAACATGCTAGAAAAGAGGACGTATACACATTCAGACATAATAGCAGAACGAAAGAAGATATAGATGGAACACATATAATGCTTACTGTCCTCTACAGGCAACATAAAGTGAGAAAATGTAAAGGGGATGTGTACCGTAGACAAGAAATATTTACTTTCATCACGTTCTATGAAAAAATCACGTGTATTTTCTCTTATTCTTTTGCATTTCTATTATATTCAAGAACATATCGATGGGATAGAGAAAAAGAAATCTAGAATAAGCTGCTATTTTCATTCAGAGATGTGGAAGAGTACCACCAAAAATAATAGAAGAAGTGATTCAAAAACATTGAATGAGATAAAATTGATATTTCTGCAAAAAGTAACCATGTGCAACATCAGTTTGTCAAAAATTAGATCGTGAGATTGTTGCTTTATTGAAATATGAAAAATATATATATAGAAAATGCAATAATCTCCACCTTAGAAAAACTTATTATCCTTCTTTCTCTAGAACAAAGCGGCAATGGGATGATTTTTTCTTGAATTCTTTTTTAATCTATAATACCTACCAATAAGTTAAATGAAAGGGTCCAACTTATAGACAAAGTATTAGATCTACTAGTGAGGATCATCTTGATTGGCTGGCGTTCGTCACTGCTAATTTGAAATGGAAAAGCGAAGCAGTTGTAAATGCTTCTAATCTGTTCTCGCTTAGTGATTTGCTTTGAATATGTCGATATCAAATATTATCACAATTTGAATTTTTTCAACCAAAACTCAGAATACTGGTAAAACAGAGCCAAATTAACTATGGACTTCTGCCGTACTGAATACGAAGAGTACAAAGGAACAAGTACGTACCTGGTGATTTTGGTGCGGTAAAATAAACTACCAGTGTACCTATGATCGTAAATATACTTGTAATCATAGGCAATACAAAGACAGGTTTGTGTATGAAACCCAACATTACCCGCCAACAAAATTTCCTGGAAAAGAGTAACAACGATGATACTTGACATCAAAAGAAAAAGTCTTACATATTCTGTCGAATCGTGTAACGTTTTATTCGAGCGATAGTGTTGTTCTGAACATTTCTTGCATTTTGCGTATTTGAAATTGATCTCGGCGTCTCGTTTGCATCGACGACAACACTGTTCTTACAAAGCAAGTAGTTGATCAATTTAACTTTATTATTCATAGAAGCCATTTCAATCTAAGCGAAGACAGTAGTTAAAGAAGAATACATATCTGACATGACCATATAAATATATCTCTAACCATGGAGAGTTTCTACAGAAAACTGTTGATACAATAATTTTGCCTAATCCATTCAGTCGATATACGTATAAGTGGATGACTTTTCTGTGCAATCTCAACAATTTTTCAACTATTAAATAAATATGTTTAACATGTTGAAGAGGCTGCACAAGATTTTTGGCGATAAACTTATATCTAATCAAAACACTTGCACGAATACTGCAGCATATTAAAGCGATTATCAAAGCTACTGGTTCGAATATTTATTTAACTAGCTAACGCCTATTTAGTTTTTGTTGATTTCTGTCAAAATTAGTACACATTATTTTTTCTGTTTTCAATTCTCTGGCATAGATACTTTCAGATGTAAGATCTTAAACATGTTTTCTTGCCATATTTTTTACGACATTCGGTAGTGTAACTTCAGATCCATCGAACCTTGATCAAGGCTTCACAATCATCATTTCTAGGATTGTGACTTGGATAAGCAAAAATGCCCTAAAGTTTCGACATATAAAAGGCATATCTAAGTCATTTGATCCTCTTCTCAACGTTTAGAAAAACAAGTTATTGAAATGCATCACACCACAAACTCATCTTTTTCTTTTGAATTAGTTTTGGAGAAAAAAGTATATTAAAGCAGAGTATGAATATTTTCCATGCAAGTCATTTCTAGTTTTGTGTATGTGTTTACATGTTTGAGCGAAACACATTTGTTCAACATCAGAAGATTGTGAACTGATATTATTTCAACAAAACTATATCTCACTAACGAGGGAACTATCCGAGGTGCTAAAAACCTTTTCGGTCGGGGATGTGATGGTTAGATAGGGCACAGTTAGGAGTGAAATACCCTGAGTTAGTTCGTCCCCAAGTTGCTTCTAGCAGAAGTTATGAATTTTTCAAGTTATGAGCAAAATGTGCGTTTTTGTCTCCAAATCTTACGAGGGAAGTATCCAAACTGATTAACCGTTTTTGAGCTCAAACTCTGTGCATAAGGTAAACTCCAATGAGGCATGAAAAACCTCACACTAATAAATAGAATGATCGTATTTCGATCTGAAATTTTACCTACCAATGGGTCTATTAGTAATTAAAATGCTCCGAAATTTTCAGCTAAAAGAAATGTTTCCTTCATGAGATATTGAATTTCCAAAAACACATGAGACTCCCGCATCTTTCACGAAATATGAGTGATTTTTGAAAATTCACTATCTCGTGAAGGAAACATTTCTTTTAGCTGAAAATTTCGGAGCATTTTAATTACAAATAGGCCTATTGGTAGGCAAAATTTCAGATCGAAATACGGTCATTCTATTTATTAGTGTTTATCATACTACAGGCTAAAATTTTAGTAAGATGACTACAACTCTAGAGGGAAGGCCTATGAATCCTTATACTTATGAGGTTTTTCATGCCTCATTGGAGTTTACCTTATGCACAGAGTTCGAACTCAAAAACGATTAATCAGTTTGGGTACTTCCCTCGTAAGATTTGGAGACAAAAACGCATATTTTGCTCATAACTTGAAAAATTCATAACTTCTGCTAGAAGCAACTTGGGGACGAACTAACTCAGGGTATATCACTCCTAACTGTGCCCTATCTAACCATCACATTCCCGGCCGAAAAGATTTTTAACAGCTCGGGTAGTTCCCTCGTAAGACAAAGTTGCAGTCGATTCTACTAGATGAAGTGAAGTTTCAAGTAAAAATCGGCTGGCATGCTTGTAAATAACTCATATGTACAAAAGGTAGAACACAATATTCAAATTATGAGAATGGATTGTACAAAAAAGTGTCAAAGAATAGGAAACACCTTCCCTGTTCTCGACTCGTTCTTAGACTGCTAATCTTCTTGCCTATTCACAAGAAAGAAAATAGAACAGGATTTCGAACTACGCTATTCATCAGGACAACGACCTCTTATGCGAACAGACATCATCTAAATAGTGCAGACTAAATACAAATAGTATATTCGTAGTTACCGTTAAATAATGCTCAAGGATGATTGGAGTCAAAAACGAATGAGTGAATGCACCAGCTGTGCGTTCAAATAAATGCAAAAAAACTAAAAAGAATGTGAAGAAAAATGCACTTGTCACTTCCTTTTATAATAGTGATCACTGATGCGTAGATTGCTTTTCATTCACTTTAATGAAAAAAGCAAGCAGTCAGACAGAAGAGCCTGTACATTATGTTTTTTTTCTTTTCTAGCGTGAAACGGATGTTAACTTTAATTAATAGATGAAAAGAGAAGAAAAAAACATACATTCGTCAACTCTTTTACATTAACAAAACACGTGCAGGTGACTACATATGATAGCATATATATATATATATATTTATACACTGAGTAAGTGTTTCTTTTTGTTTTTCTGCAATGAATATAAATTTTTGCTGTAACTTTTTCTGAATAATGGTGACCTAGGGACATTGAATGATTGGTTAAATTTGATTGAAGAATATGTTGGATGTGAGTGTGGGTGTGTAGAGAACTATCAAACAAACAGCCATACCCGCACCCACACACTCACACCCTCCAAAACAGTTACACAACTTTGAAAATCGCGTGTGACTCTGTTTAGTGAATTTTTTGAAAAGTTAAAAGATAATGAATGGATAATATCCATGTCCTCGTTGAACAATGAACAATCAACAGTGGTATACGAGTAGAATACTACAAATGGTATGAATGCAACAAAATAACTCATAAGTACTTGTCATTGTGAAATGAATTATCTAACACTTATCATTCGTATCAGCTTCGGTCTATATTCTAGCTCACGACGTTGAGTATGCAGCTACTTAAAGAATAGTAATAATGATCATCATCAACGAATGATGCATTCTTATGTATAGCTCTTCCTTTGAAATACATATGGTACTTTAAAACTATGCGATATGTATTTTTATATTTCGCTGATAAAAGAAGAAAATATTTCATCTAACTGTAATTTGATAAACACTCATCTTTTTTCATTTTTCCCCATAGTCATCATGTTTGCAAAGGGTCACTTGTGTTTTTTGTATCTCATGACAAAACAGCCTCTGCAACAGCCATGGTTCATTTTACCTTATTTTTCTGACAAGGACTTTTGAATCACCATGATATTTTAAAACACTCCTGTGCTCTGAAAATATGACAGAGATAGGTAGAAACAAATCAAGCTTGTCAAAAAATAGTCCCATGAGGATTGAGAAAGAGTTTTGGCATAGAATGTGGGATAGGGATGTGGGTGTAGACACTTGTTCCATCATTCACAATCACACCCACAGTCTGACACCAAATTATATTTCGTCCAGTTGCCAATGCTGTATTAGATACACAGACAGTAGGACCTCTCGATTATGAAACAAATCCAGGTTGATGCTATCAAATCAATCTTTATAGCGTTTATACAGGTACAAGAAACATTGATTGCATAATGATATTTGTTCGCAACGCTGGTACCAATATCGATGCATACATAGATGACAACTCGTCGAGAGTTTTTTGAACTCGTATTTCTTAGGCAGAAAGACTTGTCTATAATTGCAAAATAATTGATTTGTTTGTCATTGTATGCGTCTGTCTGGAACACGTTTGAAACTCATTGTCTGCCTTGCGCTATGGTGTGGCTTATTTTGATGTAATTTTTGTTCCTAATAGTTGCAATAGAAACGAATCAGTATTTTCAATCATGGTGACCACTTCTGTGTCTCTCCTGAATATCTTTTATGCTGTGACACTGTTAGATAAGATGATAAAATGGTGTGTGTGTGGATGTGCGTGTCAATGAAGAAAAGAACCTCTTCCACATCTACATCCTGCAATTTTCATATTTCCGTAATCTTTATTAGCTACATGATATGGTGCAATAATACACATTTTATCAAAATGTGAAATTTTGTGACTAAGTAAGAAATGCAACAAAGTAAAAAATGTTAAAGAATCGATTTGATATATTTACCTTTTACTTTTAGATTATGTCATACCATTTGTTGGATGATCATTGTATGTGGAAATGATCGCTTGATTGTTGTCCAGTCGATTTTCATCTACAGTTTTCGATGATTTAAGAATACCTCGAATTAGACATAGAATCTATATCTCAGCAAGGAATTCAAAACAAACAGATGATATAAGTCAAATAACTGAAGTATGGCCACCATATACGAGAAAACGAAAAACAATTCTGTTATTGATTGTCTTGATACGTCGTTATATCGGTCGATAATATTCGCATCAGTAATAGAATGAAAGAATCTGATTAAGCGGAATAAGAAACAT